GAGAGAGAGAGAGAGAGAGAGAGAGAGAGAGAGATGAGTATACAAGTTAAGGAAGGAAGCCACTCACAAGAGGTTTCATATTTTATGATTCTATTTACATAACTTTCTAGAAAAGACAAAACACGGAGATAGAAAGTAGATAACCCGGTTTTGTGGGGACAGGGTTGACTATAAACCTTCATCTGCACGTGGAAAGTTCTGAAACTTGATTGTGGGCAAGGTTGGGCAACTGTTAACATTTGCTAAAATTCAGCTAATAGCATTTACAGTGAGTGAATTCTCTGGTATGTAAGTTATATTTCAGATTGTTTCTTGATTAAAGAATGAGTGTGTGCCTTGGACAAACAATTTGGAGCAGCAATCTAATGACTGGATGTTTCTATGAGATAATTATCTTCTCTAGTGTGTATGTTCTTTGTTTTGTGGAGAACCTAAGTGCAGAACCTCTTGTCTAATTTTTCCCCATGACAATCATTTGTTCAATTTGTATAGAATTCACTCCTGTGCATATCCAAAAAATGAATGTTCATTAAACAGTCTATCGAGTACCTGGAAGAAAAGATGGACACACACTCGACTTGGTGTAGTCCAGGGTTGTGTGCTGTCCTTGACAGCCTCATTTTATCCCTTTCTGCGCTAATGGTAGATCCTGGCTGTCACTCCGGGATCGTTTACACAAAATAACCATCTGCTCTATTTCTGTCTCAGTCGCCAAGCAGCCCCCTGTACAGGATGAAGTCTGGGAACCGAGTTGCAACATTTATGATCTATGTGAGTTATGTGGCTAAGTAGACTATTTTATCATATGGATTTTCAAAATGATTTCATATATTGGTTTTGTCTGGTACTGAACACAAAAATCTCTAGGAATTTTTAAACTTCAGACAACATTATTTTGTTAGGCATAGACATTAGGGGATATTAGACAGATTTCTGTCCTTAGAGAGTTTGCAGTGTGAAGGTCTAAATATGACCTTGCCTAGACAGTGGGTCAGGATGAGGAAACTAGGAGACCATGGACTTGAACAACACAGGAAGAGGATACAGTTGTCTCCCACCTTAAGGTCTAGAAGCCTAGTTGGTACTGAAAGGCACAGACCCATCAGTGAGCCTATGAACTTGTAGGAGAAAGAGAAGAGAAGGAGCAGTTTATACTCCAAGAGGGGAGAGTGAGGAGATAAAAAGTTGGTAAGTACCTCTGATAAGCAGTGGAAATCCTCCTCCTGTCTCCAGTAGAGTCCACACCTTAAATAACACACTGAAGTGATCAACTGGCCTCTTCTCTGAGTCCCTAGCCTGGTCCCCCAGGTTCAGTCCCAGCCTTCATCAACCTTACTGGCCTTCAGACTATGAAGTTTTACTTTCGTCTACACAAACCAGTCATATTCCAATCATCTATCACTTAAAAGCAATCCTTTATTGGGGGAGATTTACGAATGCTTCTTAGTCTTTTGGCTAAGGTCAAGTGTAGATGAGACTCACTACTGTTAGTGGAAGGGTCACCATACCAACCACAAGAGCTCTGAATAGCACCCCAAGATGAAGGCCTGCCTTCTCGCTCCCTGTGAGAACAGGAACTCCCTCTTCCCTGAGGGCTGATCTGGTCTCCACAGCACAGCCAGGAAGGGCGCTCAAAGGCTGGCATTCAATATCATCTCTATGTTCATGATTCCAATGTGGCCCAGCATACTTCCTATGGCAAGAGAATGCCCTCTAGAAAGTGTCATAGAACTCGGTGCCTGTCACTTTTATCCTACCAAGCAAGTGTGGGGAAAAAACGTCATAAGGCCAACCAGTGTTGTAGGGACCTAAGATGGGCCCAGGTACCTCCAGTGCTTACATCTCTACATTGGTATAGACATCAGAAATTTCCCAAGACAGTTGTTGAGGTTTGTGGGAAACACAAGCAATATGGGAGGGAGGGAATATTCTTTAAGAAGTTCAGAAAGAGGATTAAGCTGAAAGCCAACCAGGTGGTGATTTTTCTGCTTAGACTGGACATAAGATCAGTGTGGATATGACAGCCTTAACTCATAGGACTCTTGTCCAGACCAAGTGAGACCATATATTTGTAGAGACTTGGTATAATGCCTGCCATAAATGCCAACTATTAATCAATGTGAACTATGAGTGTGTATATTTTTCTAGATGGTAAGATGACAAGAGCTGTTGGTTTTTTTAAACTTTCATATATTAAAAATGTGTATATTGCCGGGCGGTGGTGGCGCACACCTTTAATCCCAGCACTCGGGAGGCAGAGGCAGGCGGATCTCTGTGAGTTCGAGGCCAGCCTGGTCTCCAAAGCGAGTTCCAGGAAAGGCGCAAAGCTACACAGAGAAACCCTGTCTCGAAAAACCAAAAAAAAAAAAAAAATGTGTATATTATATTTTATTATTTCTTTGAAAATCAGAAGGAAAAAAATCCCTTTATATTAAGAAAATACATCCAGAGCTGAGATTGTTCTGTCAATAGAGTGTTTGCCTTGCAAACTTCCATGACAGGACCAGTGTAAAAATCCAGGCTTGGAGACCAGGGCTGGGGAGACAGAGACAGGCAGATCCATGGGGCTCAGGGGCGAGCTAGCCAACCCCCCGCTTCCGCCTCCCTGGCAAGTTCCAAGTCAGAGAGAGAAACTGTCTCAAAAAACAAGGTGGACAGTGTCTGAGAATTGACATCTGGGATTGACTTTTGGCACATTCATGCAAGTGCACACACAGGGATGGCAGGTATAACACCTAATTATTCCTCAGTGTCTTAGGGTTACTATTGCTGTGATGGAACACCAAGACAAAACAACTTGGGAGGGAAGGGTTTATTTGGCTTGCTCTTCCACATCACTGTCCGTCATCAAAGGAAGTCAGGACAGGAACCTGGAGGCAGGAGCTGATGCCGGGCCATGGAGAGGTGCTGCTTACTGGCTTGCTCCCCATGGCTTACTCAGCCTGCTTTCTTATAGAACTCAGGACCACCACCCCTGGGGTGGCTCCACCCACAGTGGGCTGGGCCCTCCCCCATCATCACTAATTAAGAAAATGACTTACAGGCTTGCCTACAGCCCCATCTTATGGAGGCCTTTTCTTAATCCAGGTTCCCTCCTCTCAGATGACTTTAGCTTGTGTCAAGTTGACATAAAACTAGTCAGCACACTTAGCTTAGGTAACCAAGAAGGAATCTGAGTGGTCTGAGGACGGCAGTGGGATCAGTAAACAGTTCTTGTGATGCCCACCCTTTCCTGGTTGAGATCCTTACAGAGAAACAGATTCACTGAGGAGAGGAGTCTGAG